CCCTCCCCTCTAAAACCCAAAGACTGATTCCCGCTGAGCCCATCCCCTGCCACAGGGGGGCAGGGCAACTCCGCCCAAACAGGGTTGCCTGAGTAACAGTGCGGCAGACCCCTCTCGCAGAAGACAGGCTGGGAAAACAAGAGGCCAGCAATCCTAAGGTCCCAAGAAAACAGGTGCAAAAATGCCATCTTTTAAAAAGTGCTCTTAAACTCTTCCTCTCCTATTACTGTGAAAATCTGCTATATGACATACATGGGACAAATACATGTAAATTAAGGATGTGTGGCTGGTGGAGGAATTTTGACCCATGTTGGGGTGTTGTAGGATGTGGTGTCATTAAAGGCTTGATTCCATTTTCAAACTCTGGGATGTGCATATTTGCAGAAGAAAAAAATATAGAAGATAATGCCACTTATCCTAGGAAGACAGATATACTGATTTGGGAATTGATTCAGGATTTTAATCGTCATAGCAATGCTATACAACCAGTCAGTTGACGCATGGACCACCCATTCGAGGCATCTGAATTGAGAAATCATGGATGTGGTTGCTCAAAGACATAACCTGAGGGCTTCTTGGCAGTCCCTTGGGTCAGAGAATATTCAGGTGGGAAGAGATCCGCAGGACAGTGAATCCAACAGGAGTTCCCTACAGCCCCTTGGGGGTGGGGGTGGGGGGCTGCAGGCCTGTATGCTTCCCCTGCTCCTGGGCTCCCCTCTCCCACCTCAGCCCCAAACTCTGCAGGCCACAAGTGCTGTGGGTATTCAGACGCGAGACGCTCTGTCAATGGAGGGGAAAGGGATGTGTGAAGATGCCAGAGACAAAGACCTACCATGCAGGTGCCTCTTTCTGGTGGGTCTTTATGAAACTTAACCTATCTGTATATGGATCTCAGAAGTACACTGGCTCTCAGTGATATGGAGAATGGGATGGGTAAATGTCCAAGTGATAGAGAGTGCCATCATCCTGGGGGTTGCAAGCCTCACCTGAGCTCAAGTCAGGCAGATTTCTTTGGAGAGGAATAAAATCAGTTCTGCCTTCTGTCTCCAGGTGGGTGTGCATGTTGTAGGAGAAACAGAAGGTGCGTGATTACTGCCCACATTCTTGACGGATGTGGAGACCAGATCCATCATCTTAGAAATTTTGTTGTAATTTTAAGGCATTTCTGAGAACAACCAGGGACTCAGCCCCTCACCATCCCCTTACCCAGACTCCTTGTTCCCCTGGAATTTTCTCACCCCTTAGATCACTTGTCTGCAGAGGGGCCCTTTGTACAGCCCGCTGACAGTTCTGAATGCCAGTGCCACCCGCTGAGAGTCTCCCTTCTCCTCTCTTGAAATCTGGGTTCCAGAGGATGTGTAGCCTCCCAGAGGACAGCAACAGGAAGCAAACTGAATCCATCTGGGCAAACTGTGGCCCACTTTTCATTCCAAGGTGTTATTTTTAAAAGTTTTAAAAGGGGCTTTCTCATTTCTGTGGAAGTGAGACACATTGGCAGGTGAAAACTACAAGCCCAATATGTTTATAGTTATGAAAACACAAAAATTTCTTGCCAAATTCTTGAGATTTTTTTTTTTACAGATCCCACTAATTTTCAAATTCTGCCCTTCTCTGAAAACATCCAGCTTGCCTATTTATAAACAGGGGTAAATGTTTCTAGAGTTTGACTGAAAAATACTTAAATTCCCATTAAAATGTGGACAAGGCAGGCTTCAGGGTTCATCCTCAACCTAGTCTGGTTTTCGTTGGTCAAAGTGGCATCGTTCACGTAGAGAGACTGCCATCTGCTGGAAATTTAGGATATTGTCACTCAAGACAAAGTGTAGAGCTTCTTTTCCCAGCTCTCAGTTTCGCCTGGTGTGCCCAGTGCTGCAGTCACAAGATTATGCCCCAAGGATGTCCTCATGATCTGGTTAGAAAACCACACGTACACAACTTAAACCACTAAAAACAAAACCCAGCAGTGGATGGAGTCTCTGGACATTAGAGCTGGAAATGATTTTTAGAGAAAACTGTGTGGCAAATCATTTTTAATATAGATGCTGGGTAAAATGAATGTAGAAGTGGTAGCAATTAAACAGATGATTTTAGAAAAACAACTATTGTTTAAGACACAGTGAAATCTGGGTAAAATCCGAAAGCTCTGCGTTTGGAGTCTGCCCTTGTGTGCCTGCCCCTTCTCTTCTTTCTCTGTTTCAGAAGTGCAGAAGGCTTTCTTTCTCAAAATCCAGGGGCCCTCCCAGGTAGGAGTCAGTGAGAAATGAAGGGATTCCTCATCCTTGTGCCCTGAGCTAGTTCTAGACAAAACGGTGACATAGGGCAGCATAAGACCACCGTGGCCCTTTCTGCTGTCGTCATACTCAAGATGGGCTGCAAGAACTCAGACTTTCAGTCCCAGGACCTCCACATCAGGGCGCGGTGGGGAGCTCTGTTGACCTTGAAAATGAACCAGGCAGTTATTTTAGCAGCAAAATGAGATTATTCAGGAATGGCAGAGGAATTGCAATTTGGGACATGCAGGCTATGACAAAACCATAGGCAAGTCCAGAGAACTAAGGAGAGGAACATTTCTTTATTGAGCAAAGCGGTCATTGGGAGGGGTTGCTTCCAATGCAAGTCCCTTGGATAAAGGTGAGCGGTCCTGGTGGCAGTGGTTTCTCATTGGCTGCGTTGCGGCAGTTTCTCATTGGCTGGGCTGTTGCTAGGTGAGGAGAAAATCTTCATCCCTCTTTGGTCATTACGCAGGCTGCTTCCTGTTGGCGGCTGCAATTGACGACAGTAGTAAGGCATGAGGCTCCCCCTCTGGCGTCCTAGTTTAAATGTTTCCTTCAGTTTCGCAGGCATGTCACCTCAGCTTTGTCTTCTGTAAAAAAGGAATGCTGGTTCCTTTGGGGGATGTCGAGAAGGCTAGAGATTTTGTATATGTAGTACCTTGCACATGGGCTGATGGCTGAGAAAATGCCAACCATCCCGGTTAAATAAATAAGCTCTAAGGTAGACATAAAAATAGAGCAGGACTGAGGTGCCTGGGTGGCTCAGTCCTTAAGCGTCTGCCTTCGGCTCAGGTCATGATCCCAGGGTCCTGGGATCAAGCACCACATCGGGCTCCCTGCTCGGCGGGGAAGCCTGCTTCTCCCTCTCCCAGTCCCCTGCTGTGTTCCCTCTCTCGCTGTGTCTCTCTCTGTCAAGTAAATAAATAAAATCTTTAAAAAAAAAAAATAGAGCAGGACTGTCCTCTCTGGCTGTAGTGCCATTTGCCTGGGGGTGGTATGGAATGTGATGAACCGGAAGCATTTTGTCATTTCAACTCCTGAAAGTTTAGTCAGTTCTCAAAAACCTCATGTCTGATCTGCAGGCCTGGCCTGGTAACCTCAGTGGAAACACAGGTTACGTTGGGGGTGTATTTAATCTAAAACCAAGAGATGGACATGACCTTCACACTCAATTCATTTTTAGTAAAGGGATATGTATTTAAAAGGTACTTAGAATGGGGTGCCTGGGTGACTCAGTCATTAAGGGTCTGCCTTCGGCTCAGGTCATGATCCAGGGTCCTGGGATCGAGTCCCACATCGGGCTCCCTGTTCCGCGGGAAGCCTGCTTCTCCCTCTCCCCCTCCCCCTGCTTGTGTTCCCTCTCTCGCTGTGTCTCTCTCTGTCAAATAAATAAATAAAATCTTAAAAAAAATAAAAGGTACTTAAGTTTATCTGGTGGTAATTAAAAGTTGGGCATGTCCGCTCATAAAAGCCTCCATGAGGGGCAGGTAAGATTTTTAAAAGAACTGAATTTCATGTTTCTGAGGAGAGCGTAATGGGACCCAGTCTGCTTGGGCAGCTGTTGCCCTTGTTCTGTCTGGCCTGTGTGTGGAAGGATTCATGGAGGCCCAGGCCTGGCAGCCGGGGCAGGGAGGGTTCAAGCACTTGGGGTGAGGGGGGGGATAGTAGCTGACAGGGAGCACCAGGCAGGTTGTGACGGGTTCCTCAGGACGTGGCCAGCCAAGGAGCAGGGCACAGAGCTGGGGTTAGGTCTGTAGTACTCAGGACACCAAGTACGCTGGCTATGCGCCCTGGGGCGGCCTCAGGAGGTTGGTCTGGAGCCCCACAGATTCCTCCTGACTTTGGTCAGAACTGGCCTTGGGGCTGAGAGAGGGAATGTCTGGACACGGGCAGGAGGGCTATGCAGTCAGGGCCTGGCAGGTCCCACATCCGGAGGGTGGACCCTGGTTGTGGTGGCCAATTTCTTTATTTGGAATTTGGTGTGACATTGAGATGATCTCATCTTTGCTAACTTCTGTACCTTCTAAGAATCCCTTCTGTCTTTTCCATCCTGTCCTGTCCTCTCGGGTAGACTGATGAAGAGGATGAAGTAGAGGTAGGACTGTTTATAAACATGAAGAATGCCACATTTGACCTTCCCAAGCGTGCTGTAGAGTCCAACCTAACATAAGCAGCATGAGGCCTCAGCACCATCCAGTGCTCTAAACCATGCATGATCGTTTTCTGGTTGCTTTCTGTGTGATCACTAACCTCCTTACACGGGTTCTCATCATAATAGGTATGCCAGGAATCAAAAGGCTAACTGCATTTTCCAAGCCATCCCTGAGTCCCAGGCCCTGTCAAAACTGACAAGTTCAGCTGATCTAATATTGGAGATATTCTCCTCGTATTGGAGAAGTAGACAGGGATTTCTCCCTCCAGCCCCCTGGCTGAGCCTTTTGGCAACCCAAAAATGAGAACTGGATTCTAGAATAACCATGGAAAGAGCCCTAAAACCAAAGAGGAAGTGGGACAGTGGCCCCGAAAGTGGTCATCACTCATGGGCAGCCTTTGACTTGTGCCCCTTTTCTCAGCTGGCATCCATTGGATTCATTGGGATTCGTGGGTGCAGGGGTGGGAAGGCAGGGGCTCCTCCTCCTGGCCCTGGTGCAGATGGGAGAACCAGAGGCGACATCAGGGCCGACTGGCCCTGGAAGATGAGGGAGCAGTGCAGGTAGCACAAGCAGATGTGTCCTGGGCTCTGTTACCGTGGCTGAGACACTCGATGAAAAGAGGAAGCCAGCGATCTGTGGGACTGCTCTTTGCAAACATTAATCTGACTTTCTCTTTCTCATCCAGCTGTTTGGCCTTGTGTACATATGGCCCATTGTGTTAGCATACCTCTTTTACAACATAGATGCCCTGATTCTTTGCTCAGCTACAGTTAGAGAATATGATCATGTCCATGTAATGCGTGTTCCAGCAACCCCATTTCTGGACACAGCCAGAAGCAATGAGTGTTGCCAGACTCTGTTTCAGCATGAATTTCTATGTCCTGTTCTGGTCTGGGCCCTGCAGTTGATTCCCTTAGGGCCTTTGGCAAGTCACTGAATCTTCGAGAGCTTCAATTTCCTTCTCTGTCAAGGGATAGGGCTAGCTCTGGAAAGATTCTTCCCAGTGCTTACCATAGTAGGATTCTGTAACTGAATCCCACTTTTTAAATGCTAAACATCCTAAGTGATCTATAAGAAAATTTTAACTGCTCTCTGGTACTAAATGAAAAAAAAAATCTCAATACATTTGATTAACTGGGAATATTTTAATTCTCCTATCAGGGCTTTGGTGTTAGAAACAGATGGGATTTCCGAGTTGTTCCCCGGGGTTGATGTCATTTGCCCCTAGCAGGCACCCGCTGCGGGTACTGCGGTGAGTCAGGAAACCCACTGCAGTGGAGGGACGGGTGTGGGCCTTCTGGGACCAGCGCTGTTCTTTCTGATAAGAGAACGTCCTGTCCCCATGGGTGTTTGTCATTCGCCCATGCACAGCCTTAGGGACCACCGTAGGGAATGTGTCTGCAGAATGCACATAAACAAGAAAGGTTTTCCTCAACGGAAGTTGGCTTTTGGGGGAGTCACCTCCTGCCCTAAGCCCTCCTTTGGTCTTGCAGTCCGGCAAGTTCTCCGGCAGCCCTCCAGCACCCCTGAGCCTGCCGCAGGGCCTGAGCTATGCGGAGGACGCCACGGAGCATGAGAACATGAAGGCTGTGCTGAAGACCTCGTCACCTGCCATGGAAGACACCACCCCGGTGCTGGGCGTCCGCACCCGCAGCCGGGCAAGCCGAGGTGACTCCTGGCCGGGGGGCGCTGGGGGCGGGGGGGCTTCCCTGTCTGGTCCCGTCCCTGTCATGACAGTAGAGGTAACTGTGCCCAGGAGGTATCTGCTCAGGGCTGACGTGCTGACAGAGACCCTTGCCTTCACTCACGTCTCTGGGACTCACTGCAGTACTTCATCTCCAAACCACACGGCGTTCCCACAAGTATAACTTCCTTCACACAAGAGGAGTTATGATTATGAATGGACCCCTATGGGTTAAAGCAGGGGTCAGCAAGCCATGGCCCCGGGCCCAGTTCAGCCAGCCACCTGTGTTGTAAATGAGGTTTTCCCCGGAACACAGCCAGGCGTGGCAGAGTTGAGTGGTTGGGGCAGAGACTGGGGGCCCGTAGAGCCTCGGGTTTTCACTGGATGGCCCTGTGTAGGGAAAGTTTGCTGGATTCAAGCACTGTCCCTTTTTGCCTTTTTAAATCTTTAGAGGCAAGGAAGAAATGAAAACTAAAGGTGCTAAAGACAGATAAGAGTTTCTAGGTTTGTTTCATAACTTGGAAGGGATATTTTTCTTTAATTGAGAGTTAAGGTGCATTTTTCACCTGAGAATGTTTAGTGGTGTTCCCCGATCCAGCCTGACAGCACATGAATGCCCCCCTTCAGGTTCCGTACGGCCTGCAACACACAGCCCACGCTATTCGTGCTGTCTCTGGGGGCCCCCTGCAGTCTGGTCCCAGCCTGTCTCCCACACTTGGCACTCACTCGCCCCCACATTATGGGCACCGCCCTTCTCTGCACCCTGTGTCTCCCTGAGCCCCCTCTGCTATTCATGCTGTCCCCTTTTCTCTGCCGGTCCAGCCCTCATTCACCTCCACAATCCACCTCCTCCCCATACTCCTCAACTCAGAGGGCCACTCCTTCCTCCCACGGACTCCTGAGCCCCCAGTTCGGGCTGCCTCAAGATTACAGACTTTATCACTAAAGAGAACAAACTTCTGGAGGACAGGCTTTCTCCTCTCGGTGTTTGCTTAGCACGTGCTACGTGCAGAGCTAGAAGGTGGCGTATCACTTATTGTCTAAGTTGTCATGCTCTGGCATGTGGCAGTGGTCCTGGTAGTCATTGTACTGGGTGACCAAAGAGAACAGGCCCGGTAAACTGGGCTGTGGGTTAGCTTACCTATCACAGAAACTCGGTAAAACAATGAGCTCAAGCAGTGCCCATCAGGCGTTGTCCCAGGCTCGGGAGAACATTCAGACTCACGAGATGGCGGGCAGCTGGAATGTCGAGCTGCAAGCTGGAGAAACCCCTGAGAAAGCCCTTCAGTGACTTCTAACTGCCTTTGTAGACCCACCAGTGCTTTTGGAATTTTGCTGTCGTCAACTCTGTTAAATATAAACAGAGAATGATAGTAATATTAACTTCAACATAAAAGAAAAAATAAATGTAGTTTCAAGTTTTCTTTAGAAGAGAGTGGGTTACATGGTGCATATAGTTCCTTGGAGCTTCTTGTCAACCCAAGGACCACAAACTGCCATCTACGGAGGAGTCTTGAAACTTGAACGCTGCTTCCAGGCAGTGTTCCAGATCCCTAAGGTTTATGTGGAATTCCCTAGCGGGGCTGCACTTCAGGCGTTTTATGAAATTACCAGATGTTTTTCTTCTTTTCTTTTGTTTCTCAACTCCAGGTGAGTTCAATACCACTCTAGTTCCTTCCTCTGCTTCTTAATGTTGGACTTCGGTCTTTACCTTTTAGCAGGGTTTTTACTTTGATAGGCAGTTAAGATGACAGAAGAAGGGCTGCCTCCCCCCACCTTTGCCCCGGGAGGCAGTGGCAACAGATCCACAGGTGGTCCAGATGTTGAAATCTGCAGCCAAGTTTTAACCATTACAAATGTTAAAAGATGTAAAGGAAAATATAGACAAATTGATTAAAAGGTGTATCATTTCAACAGCAAATTGGAACTTAATCTTTAATCAAATGAGGGTGCCTGGGTGGCTCAGTCATTAAGCGTCTGCCTTCGGCTCAGGTCATGATCCCAGGGTCCTGGGATCGAGTCCCGCATCGGGCTCCCTGCTCGGCAGGAGGCCTGCTTCTCCCTCTCCCACTCCCCCTGCTTGTGTTCCTGCTCTCTCTATCTCTCTCTCTGTCAAATAAATAAAATCTTAAAAAAAAAAAAAAAATCAAATGGACATTCAAGAACTGCAAAAGAAATATCCGAAATAAGGAACTCATTGTGTGGGTTTAAGAGCAGACTTGTCCCAGCAAAGGAAAGGATTAGTGAATTCAGAGACAAGTTATTGTACAAGAAAATGTACAAAGTGAAGCATAACGAGGAAAAAATGGACAGAACAGAATAAAATGTAAGGTGTGAGGTGCACAATCCAACGGTCTCCCCTATGTGTAATTGGAGCAGCAGAAGGAGAAGGATAAGAAGCATTAACTGAAGAGCTAATGTCTGAGAATCTCCCAATGCTGGTGATATATATCAACCCACATATTTAAGAAACTTAGCAAATCCAAGGAGAATAAATAAAAAGAAAACCATGCCTAGGTATAATGTGGGCAGACTGCTAAAAACCAACGATGAAGATAAAATCTTTTAAAAAGTCAGATGGAAAAGATAAATTACCTTCTAAGATACAAACATCAGAATGAGGGCTCACTGTTATCAGAAGCTATGGAAGTCAGATGAAAGTGGAATGACATCTTCAAACTGCCAAGAGGAAAGTCTGTATCCAGGGAAATTCTTTCAGAACCACAGGCAAGCTTTTATTACATTAAAATATAGTCTCTTTTTTGATATAATTATTCCCCTTTTAGACTATTACTTTAGGTCAGATTTTTAAGGGAAAAAATAAATTACAATGTTTTCTTTCAAACGGTAATTTACACTTTTTTTTTTAAATTGAAGTATAGTTGACACACAATGTTACATTAGTTGCAGGTATGCAACATTGTGATTCAACAAGTGTACATTATCAATTTACATATTTTTTAAAATGAAGTCAAAATAAAGTGATATGGTGCTATCATAGTCTATAATGCTTCATTTCTTCTACCACATCTCAGTATATATAAATGTCTTGCGGGGCACCTGGGTGGCTCAGTCAGTTAGGCATCCGACTCTTGATTTCAGTTCAGGTCATGATCTCAGGGTCGTGAGATCGAGCCCCACGTTGGGCTCCACACTCAGTGGGGGAGGGGGTCTGCTTGAGATTCTTGCCCTCTCCCTCTGCCTTCCCCCCGCCCCACTCACACGCACCTGCACACACTCTCTCTAAGATAAATAAATAAATCTTAAAAAAAAAAAAAATAAATGTCTTGCTAACACTTGGGAGACTGTTGTGAGCCAATGGCCTCTTGGGGTCTGTAAAAAGTATGGGCAGTGTTTCCCTGATGCTATATGTGGGTACAAGTTTCCAGGGAAAAAAATCCTATACATGACCAGAAAGAATGCATATAAACAGTTACCAGGCAGGAAAGTAACCAAAGGGGCGGCGGGGGGATAAAAAAGCAGAACCAGGACTGAGGTCATAAAAGAATGACATCATCACAAAACCAAGTCTGGCAATCCTGAACATATGGCAACACGTCCCTCTGAAGCATCTCCTGACACATTACAGTGAAAGCAGATCCCTGGGGATGTCTAGGATGGGAAAAATAGGTCATTCTTAGTAGGAAGATCAGATGATGCCTTCATTTTTGGCCCAGTGCTCTGAAAATGTATCATGAGCAAATACAGTTGATTGAAACGTGTGTGTTTTTGGAAGGGTAGCTTAGCATTTTAAAATGAGACATGGAATTACAAATCAGTAGGTAGAAGGGAAAAGCGGAAATTGCTGGCCAAAACACAATTGTACTATTGACTGCCCTGTCTGATCTGAGGAAGACCACTGTTCAGAAGCGCAGAAGGGTCCCAGGGTAAGAGCTATGACAGTGGAGGCCTCCTCCCTCCAGTTAGACCACCTGGTCCATCCTGAGAGTGCAAGAAAGTTCAGCCATTTCAAAAATTCCTTTCTGAGAGGAGCCTGTTTTTAAAGGGTTTTATGATGCTGAAAGATTTAATCGGATGGAAGCAAGTGGATCAAGTGCCCTTGGGCATAAGCAGAAAAAATACAAGTTACTCTTCTTTTATATGCTAGGGCTGTAGCTCTGCTCCCATTCATACAACAAATGCTTAAAATAACATCAACAATGACAACAAACGTTGTCATTAGAAAACATATTGACCTATAGATACATGCATGTGGTAGAGCCCCAGGAGTCCTGCTACTCGTTTGGCAAAGTGTGAATCATTTATGTATGCAATTCAGCAATATGCATTTTACTGGCAGAAATTAGGACTACATTATAGCATATTATGTATTTACTGTAAAATTTCAACCACAAACACATGTCCACAAAAATCACAATCTACTGAACTGTGAGCAGCTATTCCCAACTATTGCCGTCAATATCCAAATGCCAAAAACTTTTCAAAATTAGTATGGGAATAGAACTCAAGAATGTAAGGTATATGTTTACTAACATTTCTGCCTGTGGTTGGCGAAAAGCTGACGGTTCTTCAGCTGGACCTTAGGCTCCAAATACCTGTGTTCCATAGGCATAGAGTCTGAGAACACCCACCTACAGGCTTCTGAAGTTGTATGTTTATTACAAAGGATCATGTATGTGGAGGAAATTCACAATTTTGAGCGCATTGCATGTCTTCTTACAGAAGCGTATTTCCCATCTTATAGAAGAGATTTCACAAGGAAGTTGATCTATCATGAAGGCACAGTTCTTGATACTTGGGAGCTCATGTTTTCGTGGTGCTTTCTTCTTGCTTGTCTATAGGCAGATGCTTTTATGCCAGACTTAGACCTGCTCTGTCTTAATAGACAATTATTTATAAATGTATTTTCCTAGTCAAGAAGCAAAGAAAAATTTATGTCTGTTCCTGCTTTGCTAGTTGAAGAAGGTAATCCTGTTTTGATTTTTTAAATATTTTATTTATTTATTTGACACAGAATGAGAGAGAGAGCGTGCGTGCACGCGTGTGCACAGCAGACTCCCTGCTGAGCGGGGAACCCAACTCAGGGCTCTACCCCAGGACCCTGGGATCATGACCTGAGCTGAAGGCAGATGCTTAACCAACTGAACCAACCAGGTGCCCCTCCTGTTACGATTTTTAAAGGTTAAGTTATCCAGGGTGGCTCAGTCAGTTAAGCAGTTGACTCTTGATTTCAGCTCAGGTCATGATCTCAGGGTTCTCAGATCAAGCTCTTTGTTGGGCTCTGCGCTCAGCAGGGAGTCTGCTTGAGATTCTCTCTCTCTCCCTCTGCCCCCCCCCAACACGGTGCACTCACTTGCGCTAGCTCGCTCTCTCTCTGAAAATAAATAAACCTTAAAAAAATAAAGTTCCTTTAAAAAAAAAAAGATTAATCCAAAGATAAACCGTGACAAAATCCATGATTTTTATTTAACTAGAAGAGATGTTAAGGTTAGTTGACATTTCCTAGGCCTAGACAGCCATGGATAGAGAGCTGAATTGACACATATCTCTGGACATTACTGGGTGTCCATCACCGAGTATCTGTGATGTGCTCTGTGATGGGATGTCCGCCCTCCTACGATCATGGGGCCTGTCAGGTGGAGGCCTTCAGCAGCTGTGTTACAGGGTAGTATTAAGTAAGTGCTCTAAGTGCACATGAATGGGAGTAGCGGTCAAGGTCACAGTGGGGGACAGGTGAGTACCCCCAGATCTGGCAGGCTGACGCTCTCGCTCTGGCCGAGGCTGTGATCTGTTGCTGACAGAGCTCCGTGCTCGGAAGGGCAGCGTTGGCATTTTCTCTAGTGTGTTCCTGCTCTCTGGTTGTTTAATTCTTCAGGATCCACTAGTTCCTGGACGATGGGAACCGATGACTCCCCTAACGTCACGGATGATGCAGCCGATGAGATCATGGATCGCATTGTCAAGTCGGCCACCCAGGTGCCCAGTCAGCGGGTGGTGCCTCGGGAGAGGAAGCGCTCCCGGGCCAACCGGAAGTCTCGTAAGTGCCTTGGAGCTAGGGTGAGGGCCTTGCCCTGCAGGGAGCTGGCCTCCTGTTCTGTATGCCCTGGAAAGGGCAGACACCCAGAGGCCGGCTCCAGTCAGTTGTCAGTGATGCCTGGAGGGCCCACCCGAGCTCAGCAATGAAAGGTTTCCTGGTTGACAACCAACACTGCCATTGTGGGGGAGGGGGCTGCAGGCACACCCGCCCAGTGTATTTGCCGCTTCTGGTCAGGCCTCCCTCCATTCTTACTGTTCCCAGGAAGGTCCAAAGGACCCTTACATATCTCTGGCGTGCAGGGGTGGGTACAGGGGGGCCATTGCCAAGCACTGCCCCAGATGCTTTGCTGAGGCCATATTTCTGCAGCGGTGACCACTTTCTAGCTGAAGATGGGTCCCCAAAGGATTCACTGCTGCTCACAAATATGTCGAAGGTGAAAAACCAATGATTTTATGGTCGTTAGGGTGCTTAGAATACTTAACGTTAATCTAGGTTGACCAGTTTGGTTTTGCTTCTTTTGGTACCGACCAGAGAATTTCCACTAAATCAAAGGGACTGATTTTCCCCTTTGTCTGAGTCCACTGCCTGCTTCTGCCCACGGAACGATGGATGTGGGGCTGCCTCTGTGGGCACCATGCTTGCTCTCAAAGGGGCTGCTCTCCATACAGAAACAGGGTTCCTCTGTATCCTTTGACATGTGTCTGCGCTAGCCTTGACCCTCGCGTGTTTTAGGAAAGAGCTCAGCCCCCAGCCTTTGGCCCCGACGCTGCGTCACTCAGCTCAGGAGACCGGCTTGAGTCTCGCGCGGCTCTGCCTTCAGGAATCAGGGATGGTGAGGGGCATAGGGATTTATGACCATCACAAGAAGGAGGTAACCAGGCTTCCTCCTCCCGGCTCCAGAAAGTGAAAGGAGAGTGACTCCAGGTAGGCGGGAGTTCAGTAAGAACTCAGACTCCTTTGGTGCCACCTTTGAGATTCACACAGGAGGGGTTCAGGGTTTGAGCTGCAGAGCCCAAGGGAGGGGGCGGAGAAAATGCCGGGAAGGGGATGCCCTCACGGAAGGTGGGCCATGCGGGGCCAGAGCCCTCAGAAAGGGCGACCGCATGAGGCCACTAGTGACCTGGCCAGTCCCCCGAGGCCGAGGGTATGTGCTCCTCCCCCAGGTTATATGCCTGCGTTGGCAAAGAGTGTAGGCCCTGTCCTCCGGTCTAGAGAGAACCAGATTCTTAGAGAGACACATAATGTCACTGGGAACAATAACACAGTCATAATTAATTTTCCTCTTCAATCTGGCCAGGAAGATAGTTTGCCTGTTTTTGTGGTTGATATAAACTAAATTTCCTGTGGTATCGTTTCCATTCCAATCTTATGCAAAACAGCCGTATATTCTTTTTATTCAGCCAAACACATTTTATTCTGCGCTGCAGTTACTACAACAAATACAGCCCTGCATGTATGTAAGTGTTTATCTGTAACAGGCTTAATTTATTAGTAATGGCACCATCAACAGAAATTTAAGACGGGGGAAAGTTACTTTGATTTCTGTTTAAGAGGGATGATAAACTCCAGCTTTCTCACGAGAGGTTAAAGGAATAAGAAAAAAAACAATCTGCAGAATCGATGCGAAGTTCCGTGGTTTGGGCCTCCCTCTCAAACAATGTTGTATTTGATTTGATTGTTTAATGGCCGTGATGAGGCAAGTGGGTAATGAATAACCACCGTATTTGGGCCATCACTCATTTGGCTAAAGACAGTAATAGTCCAGCTATTGCAGGAAACCAAAAAGAATCCATCCCATAGCCTAGAAATTTACGACCTCCAAGCCGCTTGAGAATTCTCCAAGATAATTAAATGTCTGCTTTCATGTTTGATGCTGGTGACTAGGACTGCGCATGCCAAATGTCCTGCTAAAGCTTGAAATATGCAGCCGGTGGGGACACAGGCAAGGCGTCTTAATCGATTCGCAGGTTACCATGGCTCAGTTTTGCTTTTCCAGCTGGTGACCATTGGGTCTCATTAAGTAAAGTGTTTTGACTTGTCCGGTTGATTTTTAGCCTGTGAAATGATGGATCCAATGCACTCTCATGTGGCTGCCCCTGATTCTAGCCGAGGTTCTCCAATCAGCTGGTGGATCAGACTGAGAGAGAACATTCTGGGAGGTTCTTGGTTTTTTCTTATATAGATTTCTCTTTTCATCATATCGGGGCAGCTCTTTTGTCCCAGGGCTGTTTGTTCTCTTAGGCGTCCTGAATGTTGGCCTTCTCTAGAAAATCCTGAAGCTGGATGGCGTTTGAAATATTCTTACCAGTGTGATTCTGCAGGATGGGCCCTGGTGTCTGGTACGAAGGGGGAGCTGCTCCCCGATGTTCTTTTCTCTTGGACCTATCTTTGGAAGAAAGTCTCTGCTCAGCTGGCTGGCCTCTTATGGCCACCAGCCCAGACCATCGCAGAACAGAACAGGGTTTAGGGACTCATAGTCTGTCTATTCTCTTTTCCCAGGGGAGCCAGATCTTGTCACAGTAGAGAGAGGCTGGATATCATTTTCCTGTTGAGTTTCCTTCTCAGGTGGGGGTCTGGGCCCCACCTGTGACATGGCCATGAAGTTTGGGCACAGAACTGTATTTCTCTAAAGATGTGATTACTTTGCTATGACCTAAAAATAAACTGGCCAATTTCATAGCTAATTAAGATCTTAATTGGTCACCCTTATAAGAACAGTTTCTCAGTGGAAAGAGCTGGAAGTCTAGTTCCAGGGACTGCTGGGGAAGGAGCACAGAACCTTGATTTGATCTGACACCCTAACCCCCAGTACCCCGCCCCCACCATGACGGCCTCCTCATCGCATCCTAAAGCTTCAACATCCCTCTCAAAGGGCATGTGACATAGCTCATATTGATTTGATGTAACTAAAATGTTATTTCTTTTACAGAATCTTGAGGGATGTAAGCATGCTGTCTGTTAAGTAGAATTTCATGGAGAAAGAAAACCCTCAGATCCGAAAAATTATTGAATTTGTTTTAGGGAAAACGGGAGATACGCCTCACAAAATATTAGATCCAGCCCTGGATCTGATCAGCACACAACTCCGTTCACTTGTCTCTACTTCTCCAAAGTGGTATTTGGAAATACCCAGCAATTTTCCCATTAATCCCATCAAGAAAAACTTCCTGAGTGTTGTTTAAATAGTTTTTGCTTACCGACTGTGAATCAATTTTATATGCTTTTATAGGACAAGCTAACAATGGCAGTAAAACAGAGGCTTGAAAACCCATGCTCTTGCAAATATAGTCAAATAAGACGTTAGTGGAAAGGACCAAAATTTCTCAAACTTCTGTCTTCTCCTCAACGACCTCATTCAGTTACTCAGCCCCTGATTATTCTTAGAGCTCATTCCAGGGGGGCTGACCTTCCTCTAAAGATAGCTGAGGGTGCCCGCCCATGTGTCTAGGCCACGGGACAGGACAAAAAGAAGCCCAAGAGAGGCCCGACAGCCTCTCCCCTGAAGCGCGTGGAGAGTCGCTGCCTTGTAGAGGGCCCGCTGGAGGGTGCGCGCCTCGCGGGGGGGGCCACCATTAGTGTCTCCTCCAGGCTGAAGGACAGGGTGACAGAACAGGATGGAGCTGACCGTGCCTCTCTGATTTCTCGCAGCCCCCTTTAAGCCTCTGGTGATTTTAAGGCCTTCTCTCTAGAAAAGCGAGAGCAGGAAGTGAGGAAGGCTTTTCAACCTTTGCTCTGTGTTGGGGGCGTCTCAGAGGTGGGGAGGGACAGACGCAGGAAAGAGACTTGAAGGGATGTGCAGGGTGGGGGAGGGATGGAGGGCGTAATCAGAGTCTGGGAACTTGGAAGAGAAATCGGGCCTGAACAAGAGGAGGTGCTGTCCGAATGGCCAACAGACCCCACATCACCCAGGCCCTGAAGGCAGGTCCAACATTAGGGCGTACAGGCCTCGCACCCAAGCCCATACGTAGGCCGGGCCAGAGGTCAGGACTCTGATGCCGCAAGAAGCTCAGCCAGAAGCTTCGGGTCAAAGAGGCAGATTCAGAAGAGTCTGGAAATATTTTACTATTAACTGAACTAGAGGCTTGATTCAGGTTTCACCAGTATTTCTATGAATGTCCTCTTTCTGTTCCACTACCCTACTCAGGCTGTTCCATTGCATTGAGATGGCATGCCTCCTCTGATGTGTGGAGGACATTTTAAGAGCTTGACACTTTTGAAAAGTACTGGTCAGTTATTTTGTAGAATGCCTGTCAATTTGGGAAACCTCTGCTTCTAATAGATTTATGAGGAAAAACAAGATGGAGGGTGGAAACAAGAAAAAGAACTCAGATGGTTAGATAATCGACATTGACAGAACAAAATGGACCAACCTTCAGAAAGTCTAATATAGAATCAATAATTGTGATAGAGCTTAAAACAGTTCCCTATATTTAAGTCCAAAGAGGCATGACTGAACCCGCCATTTTGGCTCCATTTAGTGGACAGGTCCCTCAAGAAACAAGGCATGAATAAATAGGAGCAGTCTTGTTACTTCCCAGCCACCTGGTACATACATTTAAGACCTCTTGAAGTTCTGATATTAGTCCCCGTAGTCCTAGACACACTACTCTCTGTATACTTGATAGAAAATCTTTAGCTGAATCTTAGGGATTACAAAAAAGCTAACTTATTTCCAAATTGTTTGGCACTATGTGCAAAAGAGACAAAAACTATCAGTGATCTAAAGGTGAAAGAGTGCAAATAGATTTCTGTCATATGGAGGTTAAGACTTGGTGGATGTCCCACGGGTATAAAAGATGGTGGGAATGTGTCCTGCTGTTTCCAGGGTAGGCTGCATCTCACATGTCCTGCCTTAAATCCCTCTGTGGACCATTTCCTGTGTGCCCTCGGGCCAGGGACTTCATCTCTCTGTGCTGTCTGCACACTTGCTGGAGAAATAATAACAGTACTCTTCTCATAGGGTTTCCATAGAGAATAAATGGAATCATCCAGGTTAACCCTCAGTAAATGGAGGCTGCCATCACTGTAATTCTCAGATTCAGCTCATTTTTAGCAAAGAGCCACCTGAGAGCTCTTTGTAGGATCAAAATATTTTTCAATTCTGGGGGCGGGGAGAGAAAAAGAACTTGCGGTTTTTCCCTGAGTCCCCATACGCCGCGGTGCTGCATGTTGACAGCTGAGGCTCTCCTGTGCCTGATCCCGCTGGTGACAGTGCCTGGGCCAGAGAGTGGCTGCTGGTGCCGGCAAAGTGACCCGTGCCGTCTCCGGGAAGAGCTGCAAGGCACACAAGGACAAACATTTGCACGGGCTGTTCTGTGTTAAGCGGCTGCAGGGGGGGAGGTGGGCACAGGTAACAGGCTGGGGAGCAGCTACGCCGTAGCCAGAGCGTTCAAGCGGGAAGCAGGAGTGGGGAGCGGAGAGGGGCCCAGACGTTATCTTATCAGACATACGCCAGCACTCCCCCCCCACTCTAGGACTCGAGAAATCCCCATTTGATGACTTGTTACTATGGTGCAAGTTCCATATCCTGCCAGCCCATTTGCTGGTCCCTTCTTTTTCTTATGTCCCAGTTCTTTCTTGCTTTCCAGAAACTGAGTGAGAGCCAACACCCTTTCCAGCCAGGGTCTGCTACCCTGAGCCTTTCTCCTCCTAGTGTGTCCCTGTCGGTCCCCTGCCTCCCTGATCACAACACTTGGCTCAGGGTAGAGGCGCAAGGAACCTTTGCTGAGTGAGTGAATGAATGGATGAATGAATGAACAAACGAATTGATGAGCAGGCAGATGGATGAATGGATACCCAAAGAGGCCCTTTGTATGCATAATTTGAACGGGAGCACAAAGCCGATTTCAATGATCATCTTCATTTCACACGTCTTTTCAAGTGATGTTACTTTTTAACAAAGGAAGGGTTCAGATTCTTAAGGTCTTTGGGGGGTTCCTATATTACTTTGTATATGTATATTACATGTATATGTATATTACTATATACATCATATGTTTATGATGTGGGGATTGTATTTAATATGAGAAAATTTATCTCAGTTGCCACGAAGGCCCACAGAAAGTCGGATTCCATTAATGGGGCAGGTTTTTCTATGAATTCCTTTTTAGGGACACACCTGGCGAGCAAAAAGACCTGGCCTATGCTGGCTTTTTCCTCTGCAGCAGAGAACACCTGAGCCCAGGCAGAAGGGGCAAGGGAGGACCCCAAGGGTTGTGGCCCCTCAAAACTAAGAAGAGGCTACGAGGCTGAGAGCACATCTCTGTGCAGTCAGGCAGCGGGGCCAAAGCAGCGCCATTAAGCTTGGTTCTATTCTCTGTGCCTGCCCCAAAGAGGCCGGCTCAGTGCCCGTATCAGTGAGATTACTGCACATCCTACAAGGTGCCAGGGTCCTTATTCAAGTATTTACATGAACTGAACTGAACACCACAGTTATAGGACTAAAGCAAATGTGTGAACAGGTGTTAAGGAAGTGTCTTTAAATGCCCTCCTGCGAAATGCCCATCAGTTTGGGAAGTCTTCTGTAGTCATCTGGCCAAGCATGTATACCGAAAGCCTCAGTGATTAGAGTTCATAGACTCATGTCCATGCCACCTTCTGTGCCTAGTGAAGTTCAAGATGCCCTGCTCGTGCAGCATGGTCTTCTTCAAGCCGGATTTTGTGTCTTGGAAGAGAGGTCTTGGCAGTCCTTGTCAAGAATGAGAAACATTTTATCTTATTTTCTGCCATTAAAATTATCTTTCTTTAACAAACACTTGAAGGAGTGTTTAAAGAACATAAAAGGTTATTACAAACTAGTATTTTTATTGCTGCCCCATAGAACAAATTCCATTACTCAGTTAAATGCAATGTGCCTCCAGCCGAGGCTCTGGAGCCAAACATTTTGTCTGGACCAGTGAGACAGTCTGGAGCCCAGGGGCCAAGGGTGGGGAGAGGGAGAGCCAGTGCAAGAGAAGGCTGCAGACGGATGGCTGGGGGCCCAGAGCGAAGCTTGAAAATACAGTCGTGTGTGGTGGCAGGATTTGAGGGTAACCCTCAGCACAGATCTTTGTGTCTCTGTTTGTGTCAAATCCACACTTGATGTGTGTGAGTCTTCCAGCAGTGTTTCGATTCTTTAAGTCCCGAGCACATAATAAACTATTTGTTGATTGACCAATTGATGGGTTAGGTGTTGACTCCTGTTCAGAGTGCTAATTCCCAGGAGAGAAGAAACCATTGATTGATAGATATTTAGACCCTGTGCATTCTACCAGATCTCTTCAGATCCTTTGTCCACAGGTTGAGTGGGCTTTTGCTTAAGGGAGGACGGGAAGGCATGGAATATGGGGTGTTGCTTGCAGACACATGGGCTGGAATCCTGGCGTCCAGATCATCTGAGGCCTCCCCCTGAGAGGGAGGATACAGGCCCCGTGGGGGTGAGGGGAGTTGGGTCTGGCATGGGAAGATGGGAAGACACTGGGGTGAGCTTTACTTTCTCCACATTCTGATCATCTCCACATCTGATCTCCACATTCTCATCCTGCCCTGCTCATCTCAGGTCCTCTGGCTGATTTAGGATTTAGGGGGGAAGGTGTATCCATAACACATCTCTTCTGAAAACAGAGCTAGTACCCCAAACTCCCTATGACCTTATGTGGAAAGTAGGCCAAATACAAGTTATAAATTAAGGAAAATGTAATTAGGCAACCTTTCAAATGAAAGGACTTGTCTTGGAAGGGACAGCGGCCTCCTCCTTCACCCTTATCCAGCCTTTATTTTCATGTCAGAATTGATCAACACTAAACAATGGGAAAACCCATAATGCCAAGCTAAACATAAGCCAATTCTTAGTCACATATGAGCATTCCTCCACCTGCCAGTTGTAAGCCCCAGAGGAGAGTGTCGTTGGTCCTTCTTGAGCCTTGTGTGTGTCACAGAAAACATCTACCAGATCCAGTCAGAAGTTTGGCAGTTTGCTCCTTGGCATCCAGTCCATAAGGAATCACTAGTTCTTGCCTCCAGAGGCCATCTGATGAGTTGAGACTGAGACCCACAATGCTCGTAGAGATTCATCCTGGCTGCTGCCCCTTGCCCGGTTTTGTTAACACCTTGCTCTGTAAGGCCAGGTCCCCCAAATCAGTGCTCACCCTGCAGATTTGTGGGGTTATCTTATCTAGTTTGCAATCATTGGAACTTGCATTCCCCTGTGTTCTGTAAGGACTGTTCCAGCTCTGACCCCTTCCTTATGCTAGCCAGAGGCTGAGCTCTCCGCATGCCATCTGTACTTTACTATTGCACCCATTTCTCAGAAACCTTACAAGGGTGGGCCTCCTTTCTCCCCTCTTACAAGGTCAGTCCCTCCACTTGGCTCTTCAGGTCAGCCTCTTGCAGCCCCAGAATTTGTCCTGCCCTGGCAGATAGATGGCCAGGCATTTCAGCAGGAGCAGGATGGGGCTGAGCATCTGTGAGCCCTGCGACTGCCCTGGGGGGGTCCTTGGGGGGCGCTGGGGGGGGCAGTGGATCACCATGTGCTGGCTGCTAACACCTCCCTGTCTTCTCATCCTTTTGTGACCTGTGGGTGCTGCTGCAGTGCGAAGGACCCTCAAGAGCGGCCTGACTCCAGAAGAAGCCAGGGCCCTGGGCCTGGTTGGCACCACAGAGTTGCAGCTGTGACGTCTGGGGGCACCCTGAGAAGTGTGCCCAAGAGCGCAAACTCCTGCTGGGCAGAATCCCTCCAGTTGGGAGTGAAGAGACTCGACACTAACATCCGAAGGTTCTGAAGGGGAGTGTCCATTTCTAGGTGTCTGCGTGTGGCGCGCTGGACATTGATGGGGCTCGCTCAGAGTCTCCTTCAGACACTTCCTTCATTGTGTCAGCTGTGTTTCTCTTGTTTCCTTGACACCTGGTTTAGTAGTTCCAAAGTGTGACCCCTTTTCTGTGCAAGGAGCAGCCCTTTTAAGGAGCAGATCACTCTCACAGTTCCTGTGGTCATATGAGGCAGTTTGATTAGGTTCGCAGACTGGGTCTCTCCACAACACCAAAATATCCAGATGGAAACTCCAAAATTGTACACAAAAAGCAAGCACAGATTATTTACCAGTTGTGGATTTTAGATGTACTAAATGTTTATACAAATTCATAAATGTACACCATGTTTCAAATACTAAATAAATAGAGTTTAATGCCATAACTGGAAACTTTTCTTCTCTTGGGTGTAAGGCCTTAAACAGCTCCAAAGCCTCACCTCCTTCTGAATCAGGGAAATAAATCTTTTCTCAGGTTCGTCAGAAGGACTCTGGTGGCTTGGAATGGCCTCGAGGCCCTTTGGCTTTCTTGTGTTGTTGTTTGTTTTTTTGTGTTAATAGAGTGGGCCTGCCAATGTGCTCTTTGTAACTCATTATTTAGGCTTCGGTGTTTGTTGCAGGACCTGTGAGCCATGACCTCATGTAGATCACCTTATCCATGGAGTACTTCTGTTTTGCTCCATTGTAATGCTTACCCAAAAATTCGAGTAGCATTTAAAAACTGAACTATTCTGCAATTCTCTCATTTTTTACGTAAAAATTCATTTTCTCCAAAAATTTACTAAGTCCCCAAAACAAAATGGAAATTTAAAATTTTGTCTACAGAGAACCTCAGAGTGACAGATGTAATCCTTGGCACTCGAGTACCAGTCATTAGAAGCTAAGGTGTCCAGTGGGGAAGGCACTGCCAGGAGCCACACCGGGGTGGCTGGTGCCTGGGTGGTGGCCGAGCCTCCACAGAAACCCCTCCCCCCAGTGTTGCACGGTTCCCGGGGTAGAACCTCTGTCTCTGGAAAGAGGGAGAGGTGAACCACTGCACAGGTTGGTCATCAAGCTATTAATTCCATGTTTGCGTCACTTTTAAAACCTCTGTGACTCTGTGTTCCTGAACCTGGGTGTATGTGACTTAGAGACAAGATGTAGTTGTGCTGCCTGAAGAGCTAAAGATCAGATGTTCACTCCACAGGCCTCCGTGACTGGGTACCCCCGCTTCTGCATCCCCACTCTGCTGAGAGCCTGGAAGCTCTTTACAGCAGGTATTGGTCAAATAATATGTGATGAATGTGAGCACCCCAGGAAAGCCTGGAATCTGCCAACAGTAGGTCTGTATATAGACAATTGAGTTTAATCACTTTATCAAAAAAGATACATAGGTTATTAATGCTTATTTTCTTATGGTTCTAAATAACATGTAATATTCTGATATGATTTAGCTGTCAGAGCCTTTGTCTGTTACCTTAGCACCAAGTACAGACAGAATATCCATATCACTGGGGATTGGGATGTGCAAACAAAAGGAAGATGCATTTTTGTTTCACCATTTAGTGAACAGATAATTTGATGTCCTTCTGGAGGCCCTTGGCGTTCTGCTGAGTTATTGCTTTGGAATAAAAGGTCATGTTCAGAAGGAAGTGACTGAATAAATCTGAAGTTAATTTTATTTTAGGGATTAAAAAATTCTCAGAGGAAGCAAGCAAGGTCAACTAATTTCTTGGTTACAGCTAGGTACAGAGAGTCTTTTTATTGGGAACTTGGTTTAGCAGTTTTAAGTGAAATTGAAGGACTATTCCTGTTGCTCATTTCTTCCCTCCTTGTTGCCACTTACCCTGGCTCCCTCTGTTAGTGGTGTTTTTTTGTTTTGTTTTGTTTTGTTTTGTTTTTAATTCAGGAGGTTAAGTTTCTCTTAAAGACCTTTGAGAAGCATTAAATAAATAGTACCTTACCCTTGGGAGATGCTTTGCTACTCTTGCTGGTCATCACCATAGATATTCTCATGCCTATTTCTTAATTTAGTTTGAAATTACAGAACTGCCAGTAAAGTAAATTATAGAACTGGCATCTCTTCAGTTAAAGATGCCTGGGTTTTAGTTTCTTTGGAATATTGAGGTTTTTTCTGTTTAAAAAATAACTTACTGAGGGATTTGGGGATGGAAGGGAGGATGCACAGGGCCCAGGAGGGTTGAAGACCCAGTTTTGTTTTCAAGCAAGCCTGTCATCGAACAAAGTGCAGGAAGGAAGAGCAGGATCAGAGTCAGGAAACCTGGTTTCTGAGCTCCCAACCTGTGGTGGCTGCCTCATTGTCCACTGCTCCCAAATCCCCCATTTCTATGCTCATGGCCCTGAGATAGTGTATCACTATCTAAAGGCTAAATCATGGCCACCCAAAGAGAGCAGGTCCTAATCACAGGAACCTGTAAATGTTATAAAGAAGGGTCTTTGCAGGGGATGCCTAGGTGGCTCAGTTCATGATCCCAGGGTCCTGGGACTGAGTCCCACATCGGGCTCCTTGCTCAGCAGGGAACCTGCTTCTCCCTCTGTCTGCTCTGCCTGCTGCTCCCCCTGCTTGTGCTCTCTCTCTGGCAAATAAAATCGTTTAAAAAAAAAAAAAAAGTCTTTGCAGATATGAATAAAGTAAGTATCCAGATATGGAAAGATAATCCTGGATTATCTAGGTGTGCCCTAAATCTAATCATAAATGTCCTTTTTTTTTTTTTGATGTAGTGTTCCATGATTCATTGTTTGCATATAACACCCAGTGCTCCATTCAATGTCCTTTTAAGAGAGGTAGAGGGAGGTTTCATATGCACAAAAGAGAAGGTCTTACGAAGACAGAGAGGCGGCAATTGGAGCAATGTGGCCACATACTAAGGAATGCCAGCAGCCTGCCGAAACTGAAAGAGGTCAGGAACAGATTCCCCCCCTGAGCCTCTGGAGAGAGTATGGCCCTGTTGGCACCTTGGTTTTGGCCCAGTAAAACTACTGTTGAACTTCTGGCCTTTAGCACTGTAAGAGAATAAATTCCTATTGTTTTAAGCCACCAAGTGTGTGGTAATTTGTTACGGCAGCTCTAGAAAATCAGTCACAACCACCAGTCACAAATCTGCAGCGAGGGCCTATTATAGAGGTGACCCTGTGCCAGGAGCTGAGGATTCAGCTGGAAAAAGGAGAGTCATGATCCCTCCCCTTGGGGCCATGAGAGGTAGTCATCAACTAAAATTAAAATTTAGTCTAATCTGCAGCTATTTATACATTTTGCCAGAGAAGTATGTAAAAATAAAAATACCTGATTGCCTAGGAGAAGGGATGAAATGTCTTGGCAGTCGCAGTTGAGGTACATGATATTAAAATGCCCCATCAGTTTTTGTCACAAAAGGCAGTTTATTTGGTAGAAAAATTGTGTTGCTAGGCGATTCGTGGGGGGATGGACTTTCTGAATGATTTTTAAAAGAGCTCAAATGTTGATGGCATCTCTGTGTGGTCACTTGCTATGTATTATTTTATATAATCCACTTAGCAATTCTGCATTTTCATTTTAGGAAGAAGGTAAGGATGAGAGATACTGAATGACTTGCCCCAAGGGCAAAAAACAGGAAGTGGTATGTGCTGGCTTGTCATGCTCGTTCTGGTTTTGTTCTTTTAGAACCCTTAAGAAAGCCTGTTAATCAACAGTCGACTCTGCTTCAACATACTCTCTTCTCAGCATGTGGCACAGACTGACCCAGGGCTAGGCCTGGTGGGTGGAGAGCCAGTCAGCTCCATATTGACCAAGCCTAACCCTGGAAGCCAGGTGGTGTATCTAAACTCCCGTTTGATAAGGGCTCATAATCATGCACAATTTTTACATCAATGATTAATCGGCAGCCCACTCACCCAGCCATCCGTGTACATCTAGCATAAGCAGGAAAGGTTCAGAAGCTCAGAAGCATCTTTGTGACTTCGTGATGGAATGATTCCTACTCTGATTGGTGAAAGGATATGGCGAGAGTTCATTCAGATTGCTGATACTCAACTAAGTGAGGGCCAAGCCATTTATATTCTCTTAATGAGCACTATTTAATTATTGCATTTAAAAAGTGTATTTGTTTAAGATGATCCACCTGAAGTACAAATTTATGATTTTGTAGTTCAAACACCATTTCAATTGTTGACTTAGTGGAAATTTTTCCTAACTACTAGATTAGCAACAATGATTTGCTTCCAGAACGTTTTGTAATTTAGAAGTAGAGCATTACATGTACAGGAAAATTAAATCAGCTGGATAATTAGAACAGCTGAGAATGAAAAACAGCACATCCTGACCATCACTGGGGAATGACTGTGACACCCCCGCTCATGAGGATTATGTAGGATCAGAGTGTGCTGGGCCCATTGCACGTCCAGGGCTGGATGCTGCAGCTTCCTTGCTTGTGGCTGGTGGGGCCGGAAGAGGTTTGCATGGATCAGTCGCCATGTCTGCAGAGACTCAGGCACACTCACCTCCTCATCTCCCATTAGAGGGGCTAGACAGCTGGTGTCTAATACATTTTCCTCTATTCATTTTGATATAATCTAGAAGTTATCTGATTTAGGTGGAAACGGGGAGAGACGGGTTTTGGTCAAATAGAAAAGATATTCCGGAGAGGACCTGCACAGCATGTTACAGATATACAACATTAAACCAACCACAAGGTAAGTAGGGTACCTGTTACTGTGTCAGCAGTGGGTCTTCCTGTACTAGGAGAGGGTACTGCAGTATTTGGGACTATTTGGTTGACCCAGCTAAGCGGGGCCTTGTCTCTTGCACCTTCAGAAAATAAACTAGAAAGCTCAATTTCCTTCTGACTCTCTGCCCCTTAATAGCCTCTGCCTAGAAATGCTTTTAAACCTGCACTACTCTCTAGAAGGGGGTTCCAGGGATGGACAGCCAGATGCATCTGGGCAGGGAAGTGGGCTAGGAAATGGAGACAGTCCTCCTGTCTTAAAAATACTTGAACTGTGTACCCGATGGAATAATTATACTTCTGCAAACCTCAACTTTCAAACAAGAATAAAAAATGTGGTAGCTATACAGGAAGAGCTGGGTGCTAGGGAAAGCTTTTATAGCTGCTTTATCTGGTCTCTGAAAAAAATGTCCTAGATGATACAGTGATTTAGACAAGGTCATCTTTACTAGAACTCAGTACACAGCAGCTGGTGGTAGACGTGGCTTCAGGATTAGAGCAATTCAATCAACGCCAGAGCCCTTCTTGATTTAGAAGATTAAGGCGTGAGATTGGAAATGACAAGGGAATAGAGTTGATTCCCACCTCAACCCAACCTTAGAAATGCAGTCTCAATGGAAGGAAATGGGTCCTAATCCAGCATCCCGTCTCAGCAGGTGGTATGAAAAAAGTAATTTGTATCTCTT